ATCTAAAATTTTATTTACTATTTATTTAATTTCAATAGCAATAATTCCCAAAAAATACCAGTTCAATAAAAACACTTAGGTTACTACTACAGAGACAAAAGACAATGGTTAAACATAAAAAACATAAGGAAAATTAATTCCTTTTAACAATATGTGGAAATAACCATTCTATGCCTGATGAAGGTCGTGTGACCAGAAACACGTGTAGCAAAAAGATTGAAAATAAGGTATAATATATATATTAAAAAAAAAAACACGGTATAACCAAAAACGTTTGCGCTTCCTCTCTTCTTTTTAAAATATACATTTTTCTCTCGTTGGAATAACTATAACCTCTTCCGAATATATATATATATATATATATATATATATATATGCAAATATAAACTTTGTATGTTTTTTTTTTCCTCTTGCAGGGTAAACTACTCCAGTTTGGGTATTTAAGGGAACCTATTGGAAATAGCCGGAATGACCCACCCACACCCGAAGAAATTACAGAAGCTTTGATGTAAGTCTTAATTATTACTCACTCTATTTATCGATTTTTAATTTGAGTGTGCCGATATTGCTTAAATGTAAACCAAATTTGAAAAATATTCAGTGGCGTCAATTTATACAATCAATTAAAATATTCTCGCTCCCAGCCTATGTCTAAAGTTAACGACTTTCTCTAAATGGAAAGAATATGATTACGAAAATTGAAAATAGTAAAGCGTTTGACTAAATTTCGGTAAATGATTAAGGGATTCAACTTTAGCAATATCATTGCAACCATTTAAAAAATAATTCCATTCGTCTATATAATAAATGCGAATGTCAGTGTGTCACTGTGTCACACGTTTTCAACTTTTCTCCTGGAGGCCTTAGACCAACATATCATACCATTTTGGAATCAGGCCGACTCTGTGAGCAAATTAAAAAGATGCCGGGTCGGATCCAAACCCGTAATCCTGAAATTTTATATTTCCCAAGTTTTCATTACTGTGATTGTTATGGAAATTATTGTACGTGACTTTTTGCGACGAAGTTTTTGTACGATAACAATTTCTATAACTTGGAAATAAATTTGGGAATAATAGAAATTAATTGCAAAATCCAGTGAAAGTCAACCATGAAATCAAAATAAATTTTTGTACGGAAAGTAAGGACCTACGTACATCAAATTGTTTTTAAATTAAGTGGTGGCAGAAGAACTATCGTTAAAATATATATATACAGGTTGTTTAAAAGTAACTCCCCCATTTTAAAATACTAATAATTAACTATAATTATATTTAAATGAGCTCTAAATAATTGTATAGGCCACACTACATGTTTAACATGCAGACTAACTCTACACCTTTCTGAGAATAGCTCAATTAGATCTCATTTAAATATTCATGGTGACCTACCAGACCCTATTCATAACATACTTGTTGACAACACTAATATAATAGCATCATCTACAAAAAAGGCTAAAAAATAATGAAAGCCTTATTAATAAAAAAAAAAAACAACATTATATTAACTTTGAATATGGACACAATATTTTGACCGTGTTTTGAAAAATGAAAACATTTTATAAAACATACATACAACAAACTATTTCTTATTTAACAGTTAAGATATTTAATCCTTGAAAATAGCTAAATGTATAGCCGAAAGCGCTTGGATAAAAAGAACATTCGTACAGTTTTTATATAATTTATCATCCTAATAGAAAAAATATTATTAGATCGCATCAGAAATTGTATAAAAAACTAAATAAAAGCACATTGTCTATCGTATTTAATGAAATGTGCATATATATATATATATATATATATATATATATATATATATATATATACAACACATACATTTATACGCAGTATGTGTAATTTGTTAGTATTTCGTTTTTGGTTTTTCATTTTTTTTATATTTGGTTTTGTTTTACAGAAAATTCCAAAATTTCAATGGCCTTGAAGAAACTGGTGTTTACGACAAACCAACGCGAAAATTACTGAATTCTCGCAGGTGTGGAAACAAAGACATTTTCAATGAAAATGATGCTTATGGTCCACATTCTTACAATGCTGGTAAGTCCAAGTGGAACTGTCGCTGATGTCTGGTACATCATCGATATTTCATCAATTGTGACCTTACGCCTTACTTAACTAAGCTTAATAAACAACAATATCACCTACTTATCTAATTCCCTGCAGTACTCCTTTAGGTTAAATAACAGGATTAACTGGGCTCTGTTGACATGGCAACCAGTCTAGAAGAAGGAAAGTTAAATTCAAAATCAGACAGAAGAAGGATGAGTTACGTCTGGTTATAATGCCCTAGGCATATTTCTGCTGCTATGGTTAAATTATAAATGATGCCCCTCCCCTCCCCCTGCCAAACCTCATTGGTTAGGGGGCTGGTGCGGCGATCTATTTCTCATATTATAAATTTCAACCGACGATAACGTTGTTTGTTCGATGAATTCAAATTTCTTTGGATGGAAACGGTTAATTTCACCATTTTCGCTGCCATCAAACACCAAATCAGGAAAACAGGAAGCAAGAAGAAAAAGACGAAGAGAAAGAAGAAGAAGAAGAAGGGGAAGAAGAAGAAGAAGGAGGAGGAAGAAGACAACAGAAGACAGAACAACAACAAATAGGAAGCCTAATGAAAAAGGAGAGGAGGAGGTAGGAAGAAGAACAACAACAACAACAATAACAACAACAACAACAACAACAACAACGACAACAGCAACAACAACAAATAGGAACAAAGCCTAGATGAAAAAGAAGAGGAAAAGGGGAGGTAAGAAGAAGAAGAAGAATAAGAAGAAAAGAAAAAAAACAACAACAACAACGACAACAGCAACAATAATAATCCGTCATTGAGAAAATACGAACAAAGCCTAGAAGAAGAAGAAGAAGAAGAAGAAGAAGAAGAAGAAGAAGAAGAAGAAGAATGAAATTTCGGATTGAAGATGCGAGAATGTTTATACCACCGGAGTTAATGTCGGTTATTGAGAAAATCGTAACAAAGCGTAGAATTCCATCGCTTCAGAAGTCTGCATTGCAAATATTCAGCGAAAATTTCTCTCTGTCTGGGGTCGGTCAATTTTATAGACAACATCCCACAATACAAATGTATAATAATAATAATAATAATAATAATAATAATAGGGAATATCTGTCATGATAATCACTACGACGACGACAGCACATCTCTATCCGAATTTCTCTTTCTTCAAACAATAATTTATTTTATTTGATTTATTTACAGTTCAACGATGGGACAAGAAAGAAATAACATGGAACTTGGTCAAGTTCAGTGAAACACAGCGTTTAAGTCACGAGGATCAATTGTAAGTCAGCACGCACATATATCCCTGCACATATGCACGCACATATAAGACATACAACATAGAGATAGATACAATTACACCCAGACACACATACTTATATATGTAAGATTCGTAATTTGCATATAGAAAACACACACAAAAATTAATAGATAGATAGATAGATAGATAGGTAGATAGATAGATAGATAGATATGACTTGAGGTTGGAGTAAATAGATAGATAGATAGATATGACTTGCGGTTGGAATAGATAGATAGATAGATAGATAGATAGATAGATAGATAGATAGATAGATATGAGTTGAGGTTGAAGTAAATAGATAGATAGATAGATATGACTTGCGGTTGGAGTAGATAGATAGATAGATAGATAGATAGATAGATAGATAGATAGATATGAGTTGAGGTTGAAGTAGATAGATAGATAGATAGATAGATAGATAGATAGATAGATAGATAGATAGAATCAGTCATGACTTGCCTCACTTGATAAGGTTCAAAAGCGTCTACTCAGCCTTAGGGGTGATTAATTATTTTCAACCCTACAATCCCTTTCCCACAAACGAAAAGTTGCGAACTATATTCTTAAGTCGCACTACCCATGACCTTTACAACTGTGACCCGCTATCCCACCCCATTCTCCTTTGTATTCCATTAGTAAGGAGGAAGTTCCACTCAGCCAGCTTGTTCACAAGAACTGCTGCTTTGTGGAACAGACTCCCGTCAGGATATTTTCCCGATCATGACAATATTGACTTCTTCAAGGACAATGTTAGCCGTTATCGTTCCTGCATAACCCCATGAACTTCACTTCGTGCCCTTCCTTTCGCTACATACAGCACTACACAGTAACCTTTGACCTTGAGTGGCTCTTGAGCCTTGAATTATGTGAACAAAAAAAGATCACTTAAGGTGTGAAAATTGACAGTCACTAGTTGGTACTTATGTCCACACAGTCTATTTTTATAAATATTGTAAACAATGAGACCTCTTCCCCCATAAATATACCAAAATTTCAACCACACACACACACACACACACACACACACACACACACACATATATATATATATATATATATATATATATATATAATACAAGCCTGTTTCGCTGTATCACAGCTCACCAGCATGGCTAGATATCCAACTACTTCAAGCCGGGATCGAAAGACGACTGAATTGACATCACTTGGAGATCCTAACCCTAAGATATCGGCGCACGGCAGAGAAAGGGAAATTTTTACGCATTATATATAAGGTGTATATAAACGCCAGAAGCCAGAGGGTTCTACTCATTAATGAAGAGCGGTGTGTTAATAGCGGCGACGGCTACTGTTTAGGAATGATCTTTTTCTTAATAGTGCTCGATCGAAATGACGAGAGTATATATACATATATATATATATATATATATATATATATATATATATATATATATTATCGTTATCGCAATTTAGTGTTTCATGGTTTTCCAACTCGTCAGGCACAAATGGTAAATAAAACACTTAATACAGTTGGGTTTTTTTTTTAATACTAAGTTTCGTAGGAGGAACTTTAAATTGTATACAGATTCAAAGTTGAGATTAGGCAATAAATCTGTAAAAGTCAGGGATCAAGATTATAAACTGGCCCCCTTCTAAATCGAATAAAATCACTCATTCGATTCCCTAAAAAATGATTACCTGCAAAAAAATATTTTTTACAGAGGGCGGGGGGCAGTGTACTTAAGTGGTTCACATTTGCATATACATTTCATACACTACATATACCAATTATTACGGGGCAGAGGTTGAAATGTATCCCATAATAGTTATCCAATTTTCATATACATTTCATACACTACCTGTACCAATTATTATGGGATAGAGGTTGAAGTTAATAATACATGTGTCCCATAATAGTTATCCAATTTGCATATACATTTCATACACTACCTGTACCAATTATTATGGGACAGGCATAGTTTTAGAAATCATAAACGTAATAAAATATTTGAGTCAATGTTGCTTTTTTTTTTCTGTAAATAACAGTAATTCACTACAAGTAATTGTTTGATTTTTCTACTTCAGTAATGAACATTTTTCCCTTTTTAATTTTTATAGACGTGCCATCCAGAAAGGTCTCGAACATTGGTCAAAAGTGACGCAACTAACTTTTAAAAAAGTGTCCGGAAGAGCCGACATTCTCGTCAGTTTTGCACGAAATCGCCATGGAGACAACAGCCCCTTTGATGGACCAAGTAAGTTCACCAAAAACACCAAATTCCGAATTCCTATTTGAACAAGACTGTCAGCCATTACTATAAAGACAAAATTAGTTTTTTTTTTTTTAATCAATTCACCCCAAGCAATTGTCATTGTGTGTGGAAGAAGATAAGGAGAGATTAGTGAGAAGAAAGGACAATAACTAGAAGCAGAATTGAAGAAGACAGACGATAACAATTGACGAAACAAGAAATTGGAAGAGAGAAATATTAGAAAAGAACAGACTAGTTCAACAAGTAAATAACTTGTTACTAGTAATCTTCAGTTTATGCCATCGAGGTACCAAGGAGGAAAGCTCGTCAGAACAATTTCCATGATAATATTTGTAGAAAAGACAGAGAGAAGCCATGTTACGTCGGTGAGAAATTTACTGAAGCCAAGTTGCCCAGTCAGGATCAACTACATTACAGATCCTTCTTTGGATTTTGCCAAGTACCTCAAGATGAACAGCAGGAGCACTAGACCAGATATGGCAACAGTATTCAATGTACGAACGAAGGCTAGATTTATAAATGTACAGGATATATTCTGGCGAGAAAAAAAACTGTCTGACACGACACAAAGAACTAACTTTCCTAGGAGTCAATCCAGCAATTAATTTAGTATAATCACTTCACTTTATATCAGTGGAAAACGTGTGTTGCTATCCTGGGGGCAAATATCAGCCATCAGGCAGTAAATGTTAAAATTAACAAGCCATTTCTTGCGCCAGTTAACCACTGTTTGGAGGTCCTTTTCGATGGCAGTTGCCAGTTTTGATACTATGCAGAAATAATTATCTCCCTCTTTTTCCATATAAACCACCTCTATTTAGGTTTTTGCTTCTATGACCCTGAAATAATTACAAAGATGCCTTTTGAAATTATCAATGTTTACTGTTTTTCCTCTTTAGGTGGTGTTCTTGCTCATGCTTTCTTTCCCGGACGACAGGAAATCAACGGTGATACACACTTTGATGATGCCGAATTATGGACGCAAGGCACTGATGAAGGAACTAACTTGGAAATTGTAGCTGCCCATGAATTTGGGCACGCCCTGGGCCTTGGGCACTCAATGGTCTCTGACTCATTGATGGCACCCTACTATCGAGGCTACACCCCGAATTTCGAACTTCATCCGGACGACATTGCAGGAATCCAGAAACTTTATGGTGAGTATACTTCTTTATTTGTTTTATTTTTTTATTTTTATCTTACTTAAAGAAAAAAAATTCAAGCACCATCATTCTCACAATGTTAGGGAAATTGTAGAAGTGTAATTTAATTCTTTTTATTGCTTTTGTGGAGTTAACTTACACTGCTAGAGATCATATTCCTGAAAATAATAATATAACAAATTATAGGATATGCGGCCACAACTCTTTCCCGTAGACTCATCTCGTCAAAAAAGCATTTTCATAGCATTCTCAACATGTTTCGTAGAAGTGTAAATTTTTTTTAATTGCTTTTGTGATAAACTTACACTGCTGGAGATCATATTCCTGAAAATAATAATATAACAAATTATAGGATATGCGGCCACAACTCTTTCCCGTAGACTCATCTCGTCAAAAAAGCATTTTCATAGCACATCATTCTCACAATGTTAGGGGAATCGTAGAAGTGTAATTTAATTCTTTTTATTGCTTAACTTACACTGCTGGAGATCATATTTCTGAAAATAATAATATAACAAAATATAGGATATGCGGCCACAACTCTTTCCCGTAGACTCATCTCGTTAAAAAAGCCTTTTCACAGCAGATATCTTTTTATTTTTATTTCACAGGCGTAAGACAAACGACTGTTCCTTCTACGACAGTCACTGAGCCAATTACAACCGAAGTACCAACAACTACAGAACCAACTACAACTGAAATACCGACAACCACAGAACTAAGCACAACTATGCAAACTATGACCGAAGAAGTTACAACCCAAGAACCAACAACAAGCAAACAACACCAAATTAATCTTTGTAACAGGCCACCAAACTCGAAGATTCAAGCAGCATTTACAGGTTTGTACTAAACTAATATTATTCCTATTTACAAAGCTTATGTTAGTCTGGCAAAAAACCATGGGTGTAAATCGATGAAGAAAAAAATTTACTAAAGAAGCAGGCCTACACAGTTAAATATATGAAAGGCCGCATTGATCAAGCAAGTCTCAAGAGTAAATTTTTAGCGTTACTGAGGATTGATTGGCGCGTGGGTGCGCGCGCACGAACGCACACATACACACATACACTATGAAAAAAAAAAGTTCTTGCACCAATAAAAGAAAAATCGAAAAATATCAGCAGCCAATTGCTGATAGCCCCTGACGAGTGGACGAATTGATTCCCGGAGGGTTCGTCTACGAAACTCTAGAGTCGGAATGCTGAAGGTGACATCAATCAGCTAAATGAAAAACCTTTTACACACACACACACACACACACACAAACACACACAGTGACGATAAAACGATATACAAGTTTCTATAATTTTATATAGCAACAAAGAGTATTTAGAAAAATATGACAGACTGGGTGAAACACGTCACAAAAAACCTTTCCAGTTTGTCATATTTTTCTAAATATATATAGTCAGCCGCAAACAGACTGCTTCGCTATATCACAGCTAATGAGTATAAATAGACAACTCCCTGCCTCTAGCTAGGATCGAAACCCAGCTGAATTGGTGTCAGTCGGAGAGTCTACCCCTAAGCCGTTGGCACACGGCAGGGATGTAAGTGAATTTCAGCGTATTTATTTTTAGATAAACACTGGGAGAACTCGATTCGTTTTCTCGAAGAGTATTGCATTAGTAGCAGCAATAATCACACTTCTTCCCTAGAGAAAAGAAACCAAATATTAATTTAAACGTTATTTTTTGTAAGTAAACGCTCCGTTTATATTTTTAACCAGTATTTTATTTCGTCAACCGGCAATTTGTCATTTTCGTCAATTCATGAAATCTTATTAGAGAAAATATTTTTTCTCATAGGATGTCTCAAGAAATCATTCCAGAAATTTTATATATAAAAATTTTATTAGAGAAAATAACCATTGGTAAAGTTTTCCTTTTGTCTTTATTCATAAATAAAGGCTAATATAAGTATAGAAACAAAGTCCTTAAATGTTTGTAGCAGCAAAGTTTTATATATGTATATAAATAATAATAATTAATAAATACAAAATTTGCCTCCCTTTCAAAGGGAAAAAAAAATTCTTAAATTTGCATTTGACCCTGGAGTGCTGCAAAACGCAGTAAAACGAACGGCAAAAAAAAAATATATATATATTTTTAACATATGGAACTATGTATACACATTCACAACTATATGAACTCCATGAAGATTGTCTCAGATGAGATTGAAACTACTTGGGGAAAAAAAAAATTATTTCAAAAATAATATTCGTATTTTTCTTAATTAATTTTCTCCGGCAATCAAGAAATTAAATCATGAACTCGAAAGTATTAAAATAAAATAAATACACATAATACGTCTAAATTATTTAACCAAACCTATTTCAATATATATATATATATATATATATATATATATATATATATATATATATATATATATATATATACGTATGAATGTATGTATCTATGTATATATATATATCCATCCAGCTCTTATCTCAAATAACAACTTAAAAGAGACTGTTTGACCAACACAAAAACTGATCAAAATTCATGTTAAAAAAATAAAAAAACAAAACGAATGAAAACTACAGACAAAAGTTCATTTTCTCCATCAAGACAATTATTTTTCTCCTGATGATGGCCATGTTGGCCGAAACTAGTCGAGGAATCTAAATGAAATAATAATAAAACGAAAGAATATTAATATACAAACCAGTTTGTCTGAATATTTTAATTTTTTAATATTTTTATTGTTCAATATATATATATATATATATATATATATATATATATATATTATTCCGTTCTTTATATATATATATGTGTGTGTGTGTGTATGAGTGTGTGTGTGTGTGTGTATATATATATATATATATATATATATATATATATATATATATATATATTAGCTCTATTCTGATATGTGCACTTTCTAATAAGTACCGCGCATATAATATGCAAATAATAATATATAATATATACACACACATACACACACACACACACATACATACATACATACATACATACATACATATATATATATATATATATATATATATATATATATATATATTCCGTTCTTTTTTTTGGTGGGGACCAGCACGTTTTAACTATGATATAAACGTCAGTTTAATAATAATAATAGTAATGCCATTTTTGTTCTTTGTTTCAGACCACAAAGGCGTTATGTATATCTTCCTAAGTACAGGTCACGTGGTCAGCAACGTCACAGGAATCCACAAAATAGAGGATTTCTTCCCAAAAGGGCCAAAATATGTCGACGCCGCCGCTTACTCTGATGAACACGAAATGCTTTTCCTATTTCGAGGTGAGTGTTACTTACAATAAGCGGCTCTACAAGCCACCATAATGAAACCTCACGGGGATGAAAGCGTAGAAACTCAAGGAAATAATTTACATCATTTCCCTGTCAAAGAGCCAGACACTCAAATATATTCGCAGGCTGCTTCCATAGACAATAAATTAAATAATTTAACCAGTCGACGGCGTTTAGAGGATGCCGTCTGCGTTCTTTATATGACAGCCACTCAAAAAGGAAACCTCCCAGGAAGATACTTGTTGCCATAAATAAATATATCTGCCTTTTTAACTCTAATGTAATCCCAACGCATGCCTACCTTTCTAAATCTAACAGAAACCTTTCTGACTCTAGTGTATACCGGACATATGTCTACCTTTCTAATTCTTGTGTAAACCGGACCACTCTCTGCCTTTTTGATTCTAGTGTAAATTGGGTATATGTCTAGCTTCTTTTTTTTATTCTTCCTTACGATTAATATCTGATATTACATAATCCAACAAGGGATGATATGTCGTTAAATTATGAAACATACTAGGTTTAAACAAGCAAAAGAAATAAGATGAAAAAGAAAAGCCTAGTTAAGAAATCTCAATTATAATTCTGCTTCTCCTTCACTTCATTAGTTAGTCAGTTCTTTATTTAGTTCGCGCGACCTTTACGCCCTGCCAATACCGCATAAATAATGGACAATTTCGTTTTGACAGCATGAAAAGATGGAACTGAAATATCAGAGACGCTACTCTGATTTAGTGACCAAAAGAAAGAAAGAAATGTTTAACGTCTGTTTCAGTGAAATGGAAAAAGTCAATTTCAAATCTTTTCATTTATACACCCTTACTTCTAAATAAGTTTATCAATAAGGATGCTTTCAAGACAGATTTACGTCTAGTTGATAATAAATCATGTAAGAAATTTATAAGATGACTAAGAACGATTACGTCTTGTTGCTACAAGTGTGTAAACAAGAGAAATAAGATAAAAGAAAGACTGGTCAAATAATTAATATTTGTCAATTTACATATAAGCGCAAGCCTTGATTTATTTGAGATTAGCAGCCATACCCAGCTGGTCGATCAGAAAAAGCGTTCAATTAGAATGGAGCAAAAACAGCACCATGTTTAGATGTAACAGTGTCTATCTTCTTCAATTACTTTCATTAAAAAAAACATTTTGAATTAATGCAGTTACTGATATAACATAAATAGTCTGTATTATTCAATCGAAGTTGGCCGACGACATGAAGGTGTAAAACAGGCAACATGAAGACCCACTTCAGACTACAATTATTTTGGAGTTTTTCAAATTTAATTTGTCAGTGTGCTACCAGCGATGTAAAAGGGAGACATTTATAAAGCAATTTTAATAAACGAAAAATAAGGTAAAAATCAGTAAAAATCGTCATGTTTCGCTATTTACAC